CAGGATGGTAGAGTTTGTGGTGAGCTGAGATCACGCCACTGTGCCCCAGGCTGGGTGACAGAATGAGACTTTGTCCTAACCCCCCCGCCCAATAAAAATTTTAAAAAAAACCTACACATGCTTCGGTCCCTGATTATTTCAGTATCTCTGGAAACATCCTGACCTGTCACTTCCATGAACTATTCCTTAATGATCTTGCCCTCTACCTTTCTTCAGCCATTTTGCTCTCATAATCATGTTCTTTGCATTTCATTACCAGCAACTGAACATCCTCCAAAATCTTGATTTCAAGCATCCCACTCTCTACATACAACATCTCAAATTTTCCATATCATTTGCTCTAGTATGCTGAGTATTCTAGTATTCCAATGAAATTTCCATCCCACTGATAATTATAACCCCTTGATTCTAACCATTTTGCACTGACCACCCCTGCTCTTACCCCACCTCTCTAATGACTTCATTTATCTTCTTACATGGCTAGAATTTCATTGTTTGTCATTTTAATCATATCCTTACATACCACTTCTATTCTTTCGACAAGCCCCAAAATATGAGTAATTCTAGTTTTTCCCTTACTCTATTCTATGCATGCTCCCATATAGCTGGACATGGAGGTGAGCAATTATTTAAATGACTTTACTCAAAACTCAAAAGAGTCCATTTTCCTGGTCAATTTACTCCTCACTGTCTAGATTTCTACTTTTCACATCCTCTCTTCTTCTCAAACTTTCAACACCTTGTCAAACATCCTCACTCTTGCTTCCTTTTTTTTTTTTAACTGAAGAATTAGGAGCAAACAGAACACTTCCACAATCGCCACAATTTCCATTTGCCTACCTCTATCTGATCCCTCCTGTCTGTGCTCCATTCTAAAGCCAACTTTTCCAATTTCGTACAAGCAATACTACCTATTAATGCCAAGGATATTGCTTCATCAATTTTCCTGCCTCTTTCCTAAATCAATATTTTCCTCTGCTACATGAATCCCAACAACATTTATATATGCTATAATTTCTCTGATTTTAGAAAAATGTATATAATAAAAAATTCCTGTCCCCATGCTCCCTCCAGCTCCTACCTGTTTCTCCTGGTCCCCTTCATAGCAAAACTCTTCAATGACTTTACTGCTTTCATCCCGACCACCCCACAGAAACTTCTCTTGTCATGAACACCATTGACTTCTATCAGGCTAAATACAAATTTAATTTTCAGACTTCAGTATCATTGACTTATCACTTGATTTGACATAATACATTACCCTAAACATGTTGAAAAACTTTTTTTTTTTTTCAGTTTTATTCTAGTTTACAAACTCTACGGCTTTTCCTAATACCCTGGGTGCTCTTTCTCAATATCCTCTGTTGGTTCCTCCTCATCTGCCAGATGTCATAAAATTGGAATTTCCTAAATCAAGGTTGCTGGACTTTGTTTGTTCAATCTACACTCACTATCTTGGCAATATCTTCAGTCACATGGATTCATATGCTATCTGTCAATGGAAGATGCTGAAGAGCTCACAATTGAACTTCTAATCTCATATCTCAAATGTGTTCTGCCCACAGTTTTTCTTATACTAGTTAATACCAATTCTACCCTACTTCCTCAGATTAAAAACCTTGGAGACATTACTGCCTCTTGACTTCTATGCTTCACATCGAATCCATCAGCAAAACTTAAAATCTATTCATAATTTCACCTCTTTTCACTAGCTTAACCACTACCTCAACCACTACCTCTTTGATCCAAGCCACTATTATCTTCTTTCCTGAAACATCCTTCAGAAGCTTTTGTTAGATCCAATTAAAATGTATACTCATAAGACGACCATTGAAAACCCTTGGCATCAGCTTCTTCTAGAGGCATGTAGCAAAGGAAACTTGCCAGGAGGGCAGCATCAGGTGTTTCTCTTCCTTGGAAGCCTTTGCAGGGGTCATGTAGCCATTCACATAGTTAATTAGACATATTTTCTTTAGTTCTTCCTGTGATATAGCTCAGGTATAAGAAAACAGTAATCATACTGGGTAGGTTGAGAACTTGGCAGAGAAGCCCCATGCCCCCAAAGAGAAAAAATCTCTATTCACATCACAGTCAATAACTTAAGGTCTCCACAAAGGACATGCCAATCACAAAAATCATCCAACTTAAGGAAATCTAAAGATTCTATCCAGATAGTTCTAGTCTTCTGATACAGTTTACAAATTGGAATCATTTTTGTCATAGCAACGTTCCCTAGTAACACAGTTTTCATTTCAACATTAGCAGTTTTGTGGGAGAGCAAACTCCAAAAGTTATCTAAAAGCCAAACACTCATGCAGGAAGGAAAAGAGTTTATTACAGAAATCAGTGTAGGTAAGGACTGATTTCTGTAATAACGTTCTACTGGTGTCTGTGCATCTACTTTTCTTTCCTCTTCAGTCTGTTCTCAGGCCACATTATTGTGTTAAAATATAGATCAGATCACATGACTGCTGTGCTCAAAACTTTCTAATGGCTCTCCATATTACTCAGAGTAAAATTTTAAAGTTCTTAAAATATAAGAATCTATATAACTTGGCTCTCCACTATGTCTCTAAACTACTCTCTTATTTTCCTCTTCCTTGATCATTCTATTCCAACCATGTTGACTGTTTTGCTATTCCTACAGCTAGTAGATATGCACCTGCCTCAGGAACATTTCACTCTATCCCTCTGATACATACACATATTTTCTTCACTTCTACTCAAATGATACATTTTAATAAAGCCCTTTAAAATTGGGATCCCTAGTTCTAAAGAGAGTCCCATGCCTAGTCTTCATTTCTCTTAATAAAGAAGAAATGTATACATATGGCCGTTATTTTCTTTTTATATACATATGGCCATTATTTTCTTTATTAACTGTTCACCCCTACAAAAGATAAAGATTTTTCTCAATTGATTCACCGTTTTTCTTCAAGAGTGCCAGATACATAGAAAGTACTGAATAAATATTCGTTGGACTAATTGGATTAATGCTTATTCAAATTTAAATATAATTTATTACACAGGAATATTTCACTTAAATTCCATTTTAATGTGACTTTTTTTACTCAACCTCTTTCTCATCTTTCAATAATCACAATTTACTAAAAATTTTGCAAATAATCTAACTAGTTATTTAAATATTTTAAGTCAGTGTGACATCAATTTAGTATTTTCAAAATGTAAGGATAAGAGTTATTTTTCTAATCTAATTATAAATTTTAAAGGGTCTATTTCTTTTGTATGAAATACTTATGATTTTTTAGAAGCCAGAAGGGATCAGCATATGTGGGCTGCACTGTTGGCACAAAGTGGATCTTCTTACATTTTGGCCTAGAAATAAACATATCAACATCTAAATGAGCTTTCTACAAATAATCTGACAGCACTAACTAGTGTATGAGACATTTAAAAAATTTTTTCAACTATATAATGAATCGTGGAAATAGTTTTTTTTATAATTCTTCAGGAATGGATGAACATTAGTATTTTCTTAATTGTCATTGATGTATTTAACCCAATGATTTTATTACTATTTATTCAATGATTTATATGAAGTCATCTGGCATTACAAAATCCAATATTACCACTGCATTAGTATGAATTTTTGCATGAAGCATACCCTGAATAAAGTCTATTGAGATAAAACAATGTTATAAATACAGTTTTGAGATTAAACCCACTTAAATACATACGAAAACTAAAAACTTGAGTTTTATGCATAAGTTCAACCAAGTAATTTTTAAAGATGACAATCATACCTTAACAAATAATTCTATATTTGAAAAATAAACATTTAACCTCATTTCCTATTTTAGAGAAATTTCAAGGAGATAATTTATTAGCCTGAGGACCTCTACCTGCTCCTAATATAAATAACTCGAATGCATCTATTGAGTATTAACTAGTCAACAAGGATGTACTCAGCACCTATTGTATATCTGCTAGTGTTATTTGTTTTAGAGACTATAAGCTATGCATATATAACATAGTCCCTGCTTTGATATAGCTTTAACCAAAACGGCTAGCTAACTAGAATCCTACAAAGTATAATAAATATGTTTTTAGTGTCTATACATGCAGCATGTTGCTAAATTCTCACTATACAAATTAAATAGGACAACTTAAAATATCAAAACACTTCTAAATGAGAATGACCACAAATCGCCTCTAGGAAATGCACACAAGTGAATAAATAATATATGGAATAGCAGTTAACTAAAAAATAACTTTAAAATTTATATAAGGTTTGAATGGTGGAGAAATGATTATACTTGAAATATCCATTAAATCTACTTTTCTGGGCCGGGCGCGGTGGCTCAAGCCTGTAATCCCAGTACTTTGGGAGGCCGAGGTGGGTGGATCACGAGGTCAAGAGATCGAGACCATCCTGGTCAACATGGTGAAGCCCCGTCTCTACTAAAAATACAAAACATTAGCTGGGCATGGTGGCGCGTGCCTGTAATCCCAGCTACTCAGGAGGCTGAGGCAGGAGAATTGCCTGAACCCACGAGGCGGAGGTTGCAGTGAGCCGAGATCGCGCCATTGCACTCCTGCCTGGGTAACATGAGTGAAACTCCGTCTCAAAAAAAAAAAGAAAAAAAATCTACTTTTCTGATTGCCATGCAAAATAGCCTTAGTACGTAAATGTCCTTAGAATCCCCACTATTTGGCATACTTTATTGTGAACTTACCCCTTCTAAACTTTGTAATACTTTACCAAGGCCAGCTCAATGATGGTCTACTAAGGAAAATGTATTTTTCTTGGTAGCAAACAAATTCCCATGTAACACTAAGATATAGGTGTTAAGACAGGGGTCTATATTGTAGGCTAGGAGTTTCTGCTCACTTTCTCCATCTGTGCAACTGTGGTGAGATTCAATCATTAAAAAATAAATTACTGTCTTCAAAATGTCATCATGCTTAATATGATAGTCAAGGTTATCAAGCTTCTTCCCAAGTGGTAAGTGATACAAACGTAGGTGTTTTTATTTTACCTCATCTTGCTGTGAGTTTAGCAGCTGCAGTTTCATGTGCTTCATGTAGGCCATGGTAATTGGCATATTGTAGTCAATCATGCTGGTCACCAAAGTGGGAGGTTTTCCATTATCTGTAATAAAACATTTTTAATGGGTAATGAAAGTGATACTGCATTCTACCTGTAATTTGAAAATGATCTATTTCTCCAAATTGAAACAGGATTCTAGATACCAAGTGTCTTAAAGTATGGTAGTATTATAGCTGGATGGTAGAAAAAATAACTGGTAAGGTTCCATCGACATTGTTTAACAGTACTAATAAATTAATTATTTCTAAATGCAGGAGGCCTTCTAAACATCCTGAGTAACAATGAATAAAGCTAATGTGGTGATTAGCACAATTATTTATATTTTTCTTCTTTGCTTTACTTTCTATATGTACTTTTTGAATGCCAAAGGACATTTGCTCAATTTTTTTTCTTTTGGCCATTTTATCTAACTTCCAAGACATAGGAATCAGCCAGCACAAATGTATCTCTTAGACTGATATAATCCCTGAGAGAAAGTCATATTTAGCCAAATAATTTAGATAATTTTAATGAGAGGTAAAGCCAAATCATAATTTTTATGTAAAACTTTTTAGTAAAGAAACTCCACATTATTAATAATTTTTAGAAATAAGGAATCAGTAGATTTAAAAAGACATTGATAGAAACCAATTTCCTTGCTGAATATATCTAAAATACCATGAAATATATATAATAAATGAAAATTAAAACATTATTACAGGGAAAAATGTTATTTGCCACAGCTGAAACTGTCTTTCTTCTAAGAATGAGCACTGAATTACTTTGTAAGTGGATATTCAAAATTCACTGCCTCCTACTTGAATAAATGAGATGATCTGACTTGTTGAACTGTTTCAGTCTACCATGTTTTTATAAAAATGGGAGATATAAATTGCCATTATGAATCAAATTACTTTAAATCTCACTATTTGACACTGCAGCTACCTTTATGATCTGTTCCATCTGGGTTTAAATGCATTCTTTTCTGGCACTCTGAGCAGCTCATTAAAAATCGTGTCACCGCTTCTCTTGGTAGGAATGCATAGCTCTCTGAAATCTGAAATGATTCACAAAATATAGGTATTATTATATGAGCTGACTGAACATGATTTAATAGAAATGATCATTGTATTTCCAAATAAGACACGTTATTCCATAATGGCAGGAAGCACAATGAAAGCATGCACTGCATACCATGCATCATTTCAAGAAATATCTATTAAACTTGATTAGATGTCTCTTAATAAGAGCCAATAATGCCACGTGGAGAAAAAAATCAGCCACATCTGGATGGGCATCTGTTTATATTTTTGCATTTCTTTAGGTAAAATAATCACAGTGTACAGATATTCTAGTGAATTTTCCTTATAATTAAACATTGCCAACATTGTTTTTAAACTTACTGCTAGCACAATCAAATTTGTATCCAATTTTACATACTTTTTAAAAAATTTAGCCCCAAATAGGAGCAATAAACTTTGGGTTTTATATAATGAACATTCTGCATTGTTTCTTTTCAAAATATTTTAAGTGAGAATAAAAAATAAATTCAAATCGAACTCATGTATATATTTACTGCAGTGAATCACCCCTTCCACAGAAAATGACACACCTGGAAATGCATTTAGGCCACCCTTTTCATTTATTTTATGTCAAATTTTTTATAATATATGTCCGTAATAGCTCACATTGACTGTCAGAGCAAGCTTTTTCTGTGCCCTATACAAAGCTTTGTTTTCAGAACCATAATGTAGAATCAAGTTAGAAATCCATACTCCCATTACAGTAATTTTATAAATATTAACATTTCGAACACCAAGTTCTCTCATCAAATCTAATAATTCCTTAAGTGAAACTGATAGATAGTTAAATATCTTTAAATAAAAGCTGACAGTGAGTCAGACAGTGCTACTAAGAAATGTGATTCAGGGCTTCAGGTTTCCAATATAGCACTAATATTTAACATGAAATATAAGATAAGAAATACGAATAAATGAGTTGCAAATAAGACATATATGCCACAAATGATTTCTTAAGTGCATCTATAGCCCTTATGAGCACTGGTGTACTTTAGCTTAGTAAAAATGAGGGAAAATGTGTACCAAATGTATAATTGAGTGTAAATGAGTGCTAGTCCCCTTAGTGGTGATGGAGTCAACTTTTGCTTATCCATGCTATAGGAGCATAGCCTTGAGGAAACCCCATATACTAAGATCCAAAATTATAAAGCTCATTTTTCTCTTAATTTAATATTAAAATCAGTTTGTATCACTTAGCCTATCCTATTGACTTTAAGGGAAAAGAAGCCATAAGAATACTGAAGAGGAGAAATAGGCTTACAATTAAAATCAGCCATTGATAATCCATATACAGGTTATTAAAATTTAACACCCCTAGGGGTTGAAAAATAGAACTCTTACTTTTAAATATAATATTGATAGAGTAAGATATCCAGACTTCAAAAACTACTGCTTCAGACTATGCAATGATTGTGTGAGGAAAATGATTAGAACAATTCTAAACCATTTTGTGAAAAAAAATTATGTTATTTAATAATAAAATATTTATACAATTTATATTCTCATTCATTTTCTTTCTCTATAAACACATACACACAGAGAAGCAAATATGAATTTGAATCCTATTTTTTTAATTTTTACAGAGGGAACAAACACTTTCACCCGATTTATTTATTTGATTAAAGATCATTATTTTCTTACTCCATTAAGAAATATTTTATAATAACTCAGAAGAAAAAAAATCTATAATGCATGCTCCTTCCTTATATTTTATATTTAAATCATATCAAGTTATTCTCCATTAGAACTAATGGGTCTGACCAGTAAATTTATTAACAAGTAGGATTTCAGGTAAAGGCTCCATTGGTTTTTCTAGATTTCTATTAAATCTTTTATCTACTTTATAAAAGAGAAAGCTTTCATTAAAAGATAGATAGGTAAGTGCTGGAGTTGGAGAAACACTCCATTGGCTTCTATGGCCCTGATACTTTCTGAAATCTGCTCTTTTCCCCATGCTAATAAAGCACTTGTGTAGAAATCCCTCCTAGGTAGCTTTATCATTGACCTGAATCAATCTTATGACTTGTCCAGCAGCATTTAGCCCCACATCAATTTTTCTTGAAATTATTATTAATCTTATCACATTAGCTTTATAGCTTTACTCTGAAAAATAGTACATGTAATGGTCAAAAATATATTTGTGCTCATGTATACATGTCTGCATGAAATAATACAAAGCCCCACTTTGTATCTTAGAAAAGATTTTTTAAGCAAGTATTTTATCTTATTATTCTTTCTGGTGTGGCTCTGACATAGTACTTGGCGTATCACTATATATTATATAAGATAAAAGAACTTATTTAGGAATAGTTTTCTTGGTGTTTAGAATTCATTTTATAGGGACACCTGCCATGGCATTCCACTCTCCCTGAATCTTTTCTTCCCCACCTCATATTCTCTGGTGCCCACAGACCACAGAGTCCTCCTATGCACAGGGAAGAAAGATCTTCCAAGCAGGCTTTTCACATCTCATGCTCATTTCTGAAAAGTAATATTTATTTCTCCTACAATGCAGGTAAAGAGAAAAAAAAATTTTCCTTATTCAGAATCTTTTCTCCCAGGCCTATTCGAAATTAAGAGTTCTGGAATTTTCAAGAGTCACGAAGATGGTGAAATAGGAGTTTCTAGCATTTATCGCCTTATAGAAACATGAACTTGAATAACCATCCATGCACAAAAATATCTTCACAACAACTAAGGAAGCCAAGTAAGTGACTAGAGCACCTGAGTGGAGCACAGAAATAAGAAAAGACTCAACTAAGAAAATAGAAAAGATGGTTTCACATTACATGTGTCAACTCTCTCTCAAACCTATGCAGCACAACTTGGAGAAAGAAGTTCTCCACACGGCTGAAGGACAGTGAAGTGAGCACTCAACTTCAACTTTGGACCCCAGCAAGAGGCCCACCATTACATTCCAGGCACCAAGTATTTGAAGCAGTTGAAGTTAAGCTGTTACCAGCTTAAAATAGTTTGTTATAACTATAAGATACTTTGTGTAAGTCCCATGGTAATCATAAATTTAAAAAACTGTAAGATATGCAAAAGATGAAGAAAAAGTAATCAAAACATACAACTACAAAAACATCATGAAATCACAAAGGAAGAGACCAAGAAAGGAAGAAATTGAGAAATAGTCATAAAACAATTAGCAAAATGGCTATAGCAAGTTCTTACCTATAATTACTTTAAACATAAACAGATCAAATTCTCCAATCAAAAGTCAGAGTGGCTGAATGGATTAAAAATAATAATAATAAGAACCAACTATATGCGGCCTACAAAAGTTTCACATTTAAGGGGACACATAGGCTGAAAGTGAAAGGATAGAAAAATATATTCCATGCAAATGGTAACCAAAAGGAATCAGGGCTGGCTATATTTACATCAGACACAATAGAGTATTTGTTAAAAATTGTCACAGGAGGCAATGAAAGTCATTACATAATGATAAAGAAGTCAATACATCAAGAAAATATAACAATAGCATATATATATCTGAAATCAGAGCACCTAAATATATAAAGCCAATGTTAATAGAACTGAAGAGATAAACAAACAGCAACACATTAATAGCAGAGAACTTCAATATGTCATTTTCAATAGTAAATAGATAATTCATACAGAAAGTGAATAAGGCAGCAGACTTGAACAACGCTAGAAACTGAATGAATCTAATGGACATATACAAAACTTAGAACCCAATAGCAGCATAATACACATTCTTCTCAAGTCAACCAGGAAGAATCTTCAGATAGATCATATGTTAGGCCACAAAACAAGTCCTAACAAATTTAAGAAAACTGAAATCATATGAAGCACATACTGGTATGAAACTAGAAATCATAATAGGAGAAAAATAAAAAAAATTTACAAATATATGAAAATAAAAACCACACTCTTGAACAAAGAAGAAATCAAATAGGAAATCAAGAAACAGCTTAAGCGCAAGAAACTGAAAACACAACATATCAAAACTTATGGAATACAGCAAAAGCAGTTCAACAGGGAAGTGTTTAGCAACAAATGCCACGTTAAGAAAAAGAGCCAGGTATGGTGGCTCACGCCTGTAATCCCAGCTACTTGGGTAGCTGAAGAGGAAGGATCATTTAAGGTTAGGAGTTTGAAACAAGTCTGGGTAACATAGTAAGATTCTGCCTCTAAAACAAAATTGTAAAAAGTGAAAAAAATTAGCTGGGCATGTTGGCATGTACCTGTAATCCCAGCTTCTCAGGAGGCTGAGGTGGGAGGATAGCTTGAACCCAGGAGTTCAATACTGCAGTGAGATATGATCATGCCATTGCATTCCAGCATGAGTGACAGAGGGAAAGCCTGTCTCAAAAAACAAATAATAATATCAATTAATTAATTTTTAAAAGAAGAAAAAAGATATCACATAACCGTGCTTTATACCTCAAAGAACTAGAGAAAGAAGAATGAAGTCCAAAGTTAACAGAAAAAAGGAAATAATAAGGATCAGAACAGAAATAAATAAGGCAGAGACTAGAAGAACAATAGAAAAGATCAACGAAACTCAGTTATTTATTTTTTGAAAAGATATAGAAAATTGACAAAACTTTACTTAGACCAAGAAAAAGGAATGAAATAAAATTATAAGTAAATGAAGAGACGTTACAAATGATATTAGAGAAATATGAAGAATCATGAGACTACTATGAACAATTATATGTGCCAACAAATTGGATAACACAAAATAAATGCATAAATTCCTAGAAATGTGCAACATACCAAGGCTGAATCATAAACAGCAGGAAATATGAACAGAATAATAGTGAGTAGAGGATCAAATCAGTAATTCAAAACCTCCCAATAGAATCCCAGGACCTGATGTCATAACTGGTAAATTCTACCCAACATTCCAAGAAGAATTAACAATAATCCTTCTCAAACTCCTTCCCCCAATCCCAGCTAAAAAAAAAAAAAAAGAAACAAAAATACTGGGTAGGAGGGAACACTT